TTTCCGAATAACAGAATTGACAAATGAAAACAAATCCGAATTTCCGAAAACAAAATTTTGGATGAGATTCATTAGCAGTAGTCTGTACGATTTTTCATTTGTGGACGAATTTTCACTGCAGTAAAGTGACATTTAAAAAAAATAAATGTTTTTTTTAATGTCACTTTGCTGCACCGAAACTAATATGAAAGTTCGTACAGAATACCGCTAACGAATTTAGTCCGAAACGGAATCCCGAAACCAGATAACCAGGGACACTGATCTCCAGACAGCCCAACTCTCCCAGGCGCTCCGGTAGGTTCCCGATATTAGATAGCGGCTCCCGGCTGCCCGGGAGAGAAACACTTTCTCTCGGTTGGCTGCTGTCAGAATAAAAAAAACAACTAAAATCACCATAGGAATGCATAGCTAGATTGCTATTAGCTATCCGGCCAATAGAAAACAGTTGGGCGGAGCTAGCTGTCACTGCTAGCTCCGCCCAATCGTTTTCTATTTTATTTTTTACTACTTTTTTCTTCTGCAGACTGTAAAAAAATTAAATATATATATATTTTTTTTTCTAATGTCATTTTGCTGCAACGAAATTTCGCCCAATAAACAAAATTTTGTCCAGGCTACCGCTAACGAATTTCGGGAATTCGGATTCGTTTGCATTCGTTTTAGCTGTAATTCGGATACATTCAATACATCCGAATTTCCAACATTTCGTCCGAATGTCGATTCGGAATGAAACGAATCGCACATGTCTACTAACTTGTTTAGCCTAAATGTGCAGATTTTAAGCACATTAAAACACAAATGGAATGCAGACAAAATCTGGAGCGGATGTGCATAGTAACTAATCAGCTTCTATTTTTTTATTTTCAAAGGTTAACTGAGCAAACTGAAGATAAAAGCTGATTGGTGTCTATGGGCAACTGCTCCAGTTTCTGTCTACTCCAGTTTTTATTAATTCCCTCCACTTCCATCAGAGAAGCTTCTGATCAATACATTTCTCCATACAGCTGTACATGAACACAATTGGCAGATAGAAAAAGAAATAATGAGGTAGGTTTCATGTCCTTCAAGGATACTGGAGCTTGCTCTTTCACCTCTAAAATGAATACATTATTGAAGAAACCCACATCCATCCCTTGCAAGACACTACAAGAATGATAGTCCGTGTTCTAACCATATTCCACCATGATGTATCATGATGTTGACTGCTATGAGGCCTGAAAACTAATGTCTTCTGGGAAGCCTATCCCACCTCGACCTAATAACTGCCCTTTTACTTCTTCTAATAACTCATCACACACATTTATTACCTTTTGTATCACTTGCCCCTCCGGCCTGTACTGAATTTGCATTGTAACTGTGCTGTCTCCCTCCTTTTGTAAACCAGAGAGTTCAGCGTCCCTGGTTACCAGCTAACCAGGGATGCTGATCTCCAGACAGCCTAACTCTCCCGGGCTCTCTGGGAGTCTCCCGCTCCCGGCCGCCCAGGAGAGAAACACGGCTTTTTCTTTTTTATTCTGACATGGAGCCGTTGGCTGGCGGCAGAATAAAAAGAAAAAACTAAATTTTCCACCATAGGAATGCCTTGCTAGATTCCTAATGGCTATTTCAATTTGCAATAGCCAATAGCAAACTAGCTATAGCACCCGCCCACTGCTGCAGTTCTCCATCAGGTCCCCACTAGTGATTGACAGCAGCAGAGGGCGGGTGCAATAGCTAGTTTGCTTTTGGCTATTGCAAATTGAAATAGCCAATAGGAATCTAGCAATGCATTCCTATGGCAAAAATGTTTTTTTTTTTCTTTTTTTATGACGGCAGCAGAACCGCCGGCCAATAGAAAACAGTTGGGCGGAGCTAGCTGTCACTGCTAGCTCCGCACAATCGTTTTCTATTTATTTTTTTGTACTTTTTTCACTATTTTTCTGTTCTGCTCGGTACCACAGAGGGACCGAGCAGAACAGCCGACCTGAATCCGGCTAGCGGCATTCAGCTATTCACTCACTGCTGTTCGGCATCTTTAAGAATAGACCGAACAACAGCGAGTAGCTTGCCGGAGGTACGGCTTAGCCGCTCCAGATGTTGGGTCGGCTAAGTCGAACTCCTTCTGCACTTCGGTTCGGCCGAACATGCTGAGCATGTTTGGCCGGCCCGAAGCCACCCGATGTATGGCTGATTTCAGCCGATATACGGCCGAAATCAGCCGTACTAGCCTGAAGTGATTAGCCAAACAGCATTCGGCTCACTTCGCTTCAAGTCGGTCATATAGTGAATAGACCCTTTTGTTTCTGTCCTCTGCAGTCCCTGCACAGGAGAACGGGGCTGTGAGAAGAAGCAGCAGAACAAGGAGCCAATCAGTTTATCTGCTCACAGGAAGCATGCTGAGGAGCAGGAGAAAGCAGAGTGACAGAAAGAATAGCACATCACTATAGTGTTTCTCCTTTCACTGCCCAGTCACCGGCTGGGGGTGGGTCCAGGAGGACCTTAGCTCAAAGGAAATGGGTTGAGTTATGCTCACTGTAGAGAAAAGAACCGTAGAGGACGCTAAAAAAGGAAGCTGCATATTCTCTTTCATTACAAAGGGTATTTATTTGAGGAGTAAATCTATACTCTTATCCCTTTACAAAACATTGGTTTGGCCTAACTTTGGTCCCCAGTTAATAGATGGAATGTCCTTAAATTGGAAAGGGTCCAGCAAAGGACATCCAAGTTAATAAGGGGGTTGAAGGGCCTTGGCTCTGAGGAACAATTAAGTAGTCTAAACGTACTGACCCTATCAACTATTTAACCTTTAAGATCTTTTTTTTAGGTGCCAGTTGTAGATGTCTTCCTTTCATGAGCACAACATACAGTCAGGGCCGGCCTTAGGGGTGTGCGAGCAGTGCGGCCGCACAGGGCGCCTAAAGGCCTAAGGCCGGCCCTGCATACAGTGCTATGAATTCTCTTAGAATAGTCCACACACAAATAGGTTTGACTGGATGGACCTTTGTCTTTTTCCAACCCTATGTAACCTTTAGGATCTTCTCTTTAGGTGCCAGTTTTAGATGTCTTCCTTGATTAGAACAACATACAGGGCTATGAATACTCTTAGAATAGATATCACATGCATATAGGTTGGACTTGGATGGACCTTTGTCTTTTTCCAACTGCTACTATGTAACCTTTAGGACCTTGGTTCTCAACTGGTGGGTCGTGACCCAAAAGTGGGTAGCGACCCTGTGTTCAGTGGGTCTCTGCATTCCTTCCACTTTTCTAGGTGAGAGGCTCCTCTGCCTCCCCCTAGCGCAGCACTGTCAGTTCTCGCACCAAGCAGCCATTCAAAATATACCGAGTGTCAGCTTGAGGTGGGATGGGGCTATGGCCAGGAGGGAGCTCCATCCATACGTGCATTGCTTACAGCTTCCTCACGTGTCCTATAGAGGTGCCTGGACAGGAGTGACATCACATTCTGGCTCCCAGCACCTCTACAGGGCGCGAAAGGGAGCTATACAAGCAATGCACCTATGAATGGAGCCCAGGCTGAGGATCCACTCCAGTTCTCGTAAGGTAGGGAGACTGGGTGGACCTTAAATTGTTTTAAATTTTTTTTGGAGGGTATATGTGAGTGTGTAAGATTGTGCCTGTGGTTGTGTGCATCTGTCAGTGTTTTTGAGGGCCTGTTCACACTAGTAGAGTGCATCAATCGCATTCTGGTGTGGGAGGTGTGTTGGGCTGTCATTCATTAATTTGAACGGTATCCCAAACGCACCTCCCACCTACATCTCGTACGCCCACACTGGAACGTGCAGTATTCTAATGCTGTGCATTCCATTGCAGTGCGACTTGGGTCGTGACTTAATGACCAAGGACAAATGTGGGTCCTGAGGTTACACAGGTTGACAACCACTGCTTTAGGATCAGTGCTTTAGGTGCTAGCTCTACATGTCTTACTTGATGAGCACAACATACAGAGCTGTAAATACTTTTACAATAGATAATACACACAGATATAGGTTGGACTGGATGGACCTGTGTCTTTTTCCAACCTCTACTATCAGGGGCGTCCCGAGGCTGGGTGTCACCCGGAGCGGTTACCGGGTGACACCTCGTTGTGGCGTCATTGTGCATGCACATGACATCATCACACGCGTGCGCAATGACGTCATCGCACATGCGTGGCGACATCATCGCGCATGCGCGGCGATGTTATTGATACCTGCCGGCGGCCATTTTGGTGATGGACGCTGGCAGAGAGAGGAGGGGACAGTCACCCGGCGGGATAAGGTATGCCGCCGGTTCCCCTCCTCTCTTGATCGATGACCAAGTGCCCGACTTTCAGAGAGGGTGACACCAAAATGTCTGTCAGTCATTTTGGTGTCACCCCTCCAATGGTGTCACCCGGGTGTGGGCCGCACCCCCCTTGTGAAGCCACTATCTACTATGCACCCTTTTGGATCAGCTCTTTAGGTGCCAGTTCTACATGTTTTACTTGATGAGCACAACATACATGGCTATAAATACTCTTATGATAATACAATAATACACACACATATAAGTTGGACTGGATGGACCTGTGTCTTTTCCCAACCTTATGTAATATGTAACCCTTAGGATCTGCTCCTTAGGTGGCGGTTCTTCAGAAGGAGGAGGAGGGACACATCTGTCTCCTGGTGGTGGGAGGTGAAGTAAAGCTACATAGAGGTTTTTTTTCTCCTGGAGGTGTCCCTGTAGAGGAAGGCAGTGCCTTGAGTGAATGATCAGGGACTGTGTGAGCTGTAGTCTCAGGCACCACCAACCCTTTGGACCAGCAGATCCCAGCGTCTGCTATCTGATTTCCATGTGCAGCAGAGTCTGTTCTGCTCCCATCTACCTCCAGGATTGTCTATTCTGAATCCACATTGCACATTTCCTCTGCTGTGCTGGTAACAATAGGGTTCTCCCTGCTTCCCATACAGACACCGCACTGCTGCATTTTATATGATCATCGTTATCCTCAGCACCACCAGCAGCAGCAGCTCGTCCATCCACAGAGAGGGGTAGGGGTGTAGCATGGCAGCGGAGAGAAAGCGGAATTGGAATAAAGAAGATGATCTTCCCGTGTATCTGGCTAGACCCGGCACCACTGCCCAGACCCCCCGGGTAAAATACGGGGGCATGTTCGCCTCTGTGGAGGGCGCCTATGAGAACAAGACCATTGATTTCGATGCCTACAGCGTGGGGAAGAAAGGGACCCGCACACCCCGGAGCAGCAGCAGGCCGGACATGGACGGGGAGAATTTCAGTGAGACGGCCAGTGATGTCAGTGAGATCTCCGGCTCTGTCATCAGCTCCCCCGGAGAAAGGGAGGACCGGACCCCCGGCATAGAGATCAAGTACACTGGAGGCAAGGAGCTGCTGCAGGGCGAGGACAATGGCAAGGTACAGTGACAGCTGGGAGAGGCTCTGCACCATCACTGGGGGCCCCATCACGCTGGCCTCAGGGGCCAATATCCTTAATGGTCTGCTGATAGGGAGCTGGCAACCCTTTAACTGCTGTCAGTCTGGGGCATCAGAGCAATGTGGTACATCTGGGTACCTTCAGCTGCTGGGGAATCACAAGTCCCAGCATGGTCTGGCAGGATAATAGGGCATGCAGGGAGTTGTAGTTGCTTCTACCTGTGTCTTCAGGCTATCCATTTTGATGTGATGCTTCAGGCCTTTCTGGTGGCTCTATCTATCTATCTATCTATCTATCTATCTATCTATCTATCTATCTATCTATCTATCTATCTAATCAAAGTATTGAGGCCCACATTTTCCATTTTTTATTGAAAGATGTGTCATCTACCTCTGTCTGTCTATCGGTGTCATTAGGTTTTATGTCTGTCTGTCTCTATATGTTTTAATTCATGCATCCATCCATCCATCATACATTTGTCCATCTATCCATCCATCTTTCCCTCTATCCATCCATCCATTTGTCCATCCATCCCTTCCTCCACCTACCTACCCACCCATCCATCTATCCATCCTTACATCCATCCATCCCTTGCTTCCACCCACCTATCAATCAGTCCATCCATCCATCTATCCATCCATCCATCCATCCATTTATCCATCCATCCATCTATTTTTCCATCCAAACTTTCCAGGGGTAAAACCTAGAATTATTTTTTTTGTAATCTATTCGTCTGTCTCTATCGTTCTGATAAAAGTATTGAGGTCCAAATGTTTAAAGCCTGGATACATGTTTAATGAACTAGAGAGATGTCATCTTCCTCTCTCTATCTTCATCTATCTATCTATCTATCTATCTATCTATCTATCTATCTATCTATCTATCTATCTATCTATCTCAAAGTATTGAGGCCCACATTTTCCTGGAGTTCATTTTTCATTGAAAGAGGTGTCACCTACCTCTGTCTGTCTATTGGTGTCATTAAGTTTTATGTCTGTCTGTCTGTCTGCCCCTCTTCCCCAAACTGGCCCAAACTTTCTAGCTGCATTTTTCTTTTTTATTATGGAGCTGTGATATCTATCTATCTATCTATCTATCTATCTATCTATCTATCTATCTATCTTTCATTTTTCTTTCATTTAGTCAATCTGTCTTTTTATAGTGTGATGTGGCTTTTTTATTTAAATACTCTTTAAAGATATCATGATGTAATTTTTGTCAGAGTGTGTACCTGCTTTTTTATCTTTAATTATGTAGTTTGGATATTTATCTATCTATCTATCTATCTATCTATCTATCTATCTATCTATCTATCTCTCATCTATTTTTCTTTCAATTAGTCAATCTGTCTTGTCATAGTGTGATGTGGCTTTTTTATTTAAATACTCTTTAAAGATATCATGATGTAATTTTTGTCAGAGTGTGCTTCACTGGAGTAATCCTGAAAGCATACAACCAATTTAATCTAATATTCCCTCCATAAATCTCCATAAATATCATGACATGGTGCTCTCTCCTATAGGTGTCAGAGTGTTAAAAGGTTTTTGGAGCTTGCAGTCTGTTTAAATGTTGTCAGACGTGGCTCTTTTCAAGGTCAGAATGAGTTGATTTTGACATGTCTGCAGTGTATAGTGGACAGTATGTCTAATAAATAGGATCTTTGGTTGGCCTAATCAGAATAGGAGATCCCAGATACTATAGATGTGATCATTCACTCAGTGAAAGTCTGGAGTGATTGTGTGTTCTGTGGATATAAAATACATTTCACAATCAGAATATTGTGGATTGTCGTTGCTTTTTGCTCAGGCAGTACTGGTAATGCGGCCTGGTTGCCAGCAGTCTGGAATGAATGAAGGTACTGCAATTATATATTCAGTTGTGGAGCACATGTTACAGATCATTGGCATTGTAGGATGTTGTTAGTCAATATTTAAACACAGGTTGGGATTGTTAAGATAAGTAACTCCCTACTGGATGATGAGTGCAATAAAGGGTGCTGAGATACTTTTCTGAAACAAAGAGTGGTGGAGGGTCTGGGAGGCCTCCCGTCAACTCTTTTCCCCCGGTCCCCTTCTGTCCCAGCACACTCACTTTGCATTTTAATGTCTTGGGAGTCCGTCAGTTTGGGACGAGCTATCTGGATTTCAGTTTTCAGCAAGCTGACATGACTGTTAATGTGCAAGTGGGAGTTCAGCAAGGCCCAATTCACATCCAGGGATATGTGAATTATTATCTTATAATAACCTCCTTGAGAAGGCCATGAACACAGTGATTTATAAAAAAATAGCAAACATACAATATTAAACACGACTTTGATGACCCGTAACGCAGTGCTGCAGAAGAACTGCCCATATTCCAAATTTGATGCCCCCAAGAGGGCCATTAGCTGCGGCCTGAGGCACAACTTTCCCATACCCTTATGCGGCAAATGCCCAATAACAGCTGAGAAGCACATTTCTTACTGCTGTGCTGGGGTGAAATAACATTTTCAGACAGTAAAATATAACAACACTTTAGACGTCATAGATGTTGGGGCGGATGTTAACCCTACAACTACTCAAAGCACATTAATCCAGAAGTGACACATGAATATGGAATTCAGCAGCCAGTCTATCCAATCCAGCCAGCAGGATTTTTTAGGAGCCAGCTCCATTGACCGCAACTAGAGAAAACCTCAAACGTTAGGCGCCAACTGTAATTCATAAGGAGCATTAGCTACCTGGCTCCTGGGATTTGTCTAGCCCTGCATTAAACAAAGATATAAAACATTTACCTGGATAAATGCATTGCACCATGTTTGACTTCTGTGTGCACTTTGGTTGTCTGGCATTCAGTTTTGGAAACTGGCAGCCGTTTACCAGCGACACCATGCAACTCATGGTGTCACTTAGCCTGCCCCAACATGCTGTCTACATATATGACAGCATAAGGGCACAGCGGAAGCTTTTCCAGTCAGGCTTTGGAATCACAAGATGTAGATAGCATGGAGGAAGGAAAGGGGGGGGAGTTGAGTGACAACATGAGTCGCATGGTGTCACTGGCAGAGTTTTCCAATGCTGATTGCTGGACAGAGCTGGATTGCTGCACCAGAGTGTGTGCAGAGATCAAACATGGTGCTTTGCATGTATCAGGGTACATGTGTTATATGGTTGTATAAATTCCATTTTAAAGTTTATCTAAACCCGAGAATGAAAGTGTCATTTATTGCAGCTTACCAGTCTTAGGTGTGGTGACTGCAGTAGTTTCCTTTTTTTCTGTAACACACTTAGGGGCAAACTTTTTAAAGCTCCCAGCAGTTGTTGCAGTGCCTTGAGGTGAAAAACAAAATGCATGAACTATCAATTTCACTGCATGGCACCACAACACATGCTATTGCAGTACTGTGCGTTGCTGTGCAGTGTATGTCCGAAGAGAGATGTATTGGGGTGCAATCCAAACCAGAGGACTGGTAACAATATTTGAGCTTTCAGTGCAAATTATCAGCTCACTGGATTTTTGGCAGGTATTTTTTTTTTTTTTT